TCTTAACTTAGCAAAATACTTTAAAATAGACCACAACGCATTCCTTCTACACTATATCCGATTTATCTCAAATATTTATTCTACCTTTGGGATTTGTAGTATAATCATGCAATCCAAGAAACTTCTGTAAATACTCTGAAGTAGATCAGAACATGTGCGTTTCCCCTGATCACGCTGTGGGGATATTGAAGTGCGAAATTTTCCCCGTTAACTACAGTAGGACAATACAGAATTTGAAACGAAAACCATGTACGGAAGAGCCCACTCGGAATACATAGGCGTGGGCGAAAGGATATGATTAAAATTGATCTTAAATACGGCGCGAGTGTGCAGACTGGATTCGTCTGGCTCAGGATAGGGACCGGTGGATGGTAATGACCTTTGGGGTTCCATAAAAGCAGGGCGTTTTTTGCCTAGATAAGCGTGCTCCTTGGAGTTTGTGGAATAAGAAATAGTTTTTGAATTTCAGGACGTTCGGTGTAAGAAATCCACTGATTGTGCAAGCTTAAGGAGAGTTGTTAGACGAAGACACTCATTTCTATTGTGCGATCACTGAACTCCAGTGCATAATGCGTATGGGGTGCAGCTTATATGAATATTAAGCGTGCCAGAGGTTTTGTAAATATGAACCTAAGAACGTAATTAACTGGAATTAAAACACGAAGAATTACTTCACAAAGGAATTAATTTGTCACCAACTCGCTACGACCAAACCTATTTATCTAAGGTCCGTTTCAATATCATCCTCACGTGTATACCTACGTTTTCTACTGGTCGCTTTCCCTCAGGATTTCAAATCAAAATTTTGTAAGTATTTCTCATCTCCCCCATGTGCGCTACATGCCCAAATAATAAGTAAATTAAAATAAAAAGGAAGATAATATTTGGACGCAAGTAACATGAAATAATAGAGGGGATGATAATGTTTAAGAAACACGAGCTCCACGATTTTCACAGATTATGTCGTGGGCCTACTGGTACGGTGATTCAGTCGAGGAGGATGATGAGGGCAAGAGGGCAGGACATTTAGCACGATTCATGCAAAACAAATTGCAGTGATTAGCATGTAAGTCGTGACAATTTCTGTTTCGTTTCTTTCTGTCGTGTCTCGTGTGTCTAGCCCCGCAGATGAAACCTGAGACTAGCATCGCGGGCAAGTTCAGACCTTACAGGGTTCAAGTGTCCGATGGCTGAAGCCTTGCGACGTCAAAGAAACCCTTCCGCGGCTTCAGTACGTTAGAATTTTGGAACGCAGCAGTGAGCAAATGATGATAATACGATCTTTGGATGCTAACGTAACGAAAAGGATATCACAACAGTTCTGAAAATATAAGAACAGATTTTGAGTATAAAATCAAATAAATGTATCAACTCTAAGAGGTAAAAATGGCCAGTGGTTACTTCAGCAAAATGACGGATGTCAAACCTGCTGAAAGAGGCTTCGATGTTATTCAGATGGAGACAGCATGTTCCTCCGAAATATTGGTATCTACCTAGAGGTCCGCACGGCGTCACAGTCAGAACAACATCGGCTTCTTCATCGCAAACATATCAACTGAATGAGACACTTGATATAAGTTCATATATCACAACACACCAGACAACAGCTTCAAAATAATCTATTTTCAGATACATGTCTTATTATTATAAAAGTTTTAAATAATCCTCTGAAACAAATTTTTCGAACTGAAAATCCTTTAGTGTAATTATAAAATGCAAAGCTCACTACATTATAAATGCTACGTCGTTTAATAATATGATTGTAAATATTAATAATAATAATAATTAGATTAATTTATTAACGTGGTTTTCAAAAGCAAGGAAGGCAGTTATGGAGTGCAGACTTCAATGAACTGAAATATGCGGACCTACGTTTACATGGCGCCGCAAATCATCTTAATCAAATGACGACTGGAATGACAAATTGTTTGACATATTGACCACGTGCATACGTCACTCTGAAGTCTCTGTTATTAGTCGACATGTGCTGCTCCGTCCGATAAGAGAGCTAGAGAGGGTTGGACCCGACCTCAGACTTCGTTTTTCTGAATAAACGCTCACTATGAAAGTGTTTTTAAAATTTTGTATAGGTGACTGGTATTTATTTTAATTTGTTTGAAGATACATATTTTTCGTTGTGAAATTACTAACACTAACTCCATTCAGTAGAGTACTTCTTGAGAAGCTAGTAGTCGCTCAGTTCGCTCAAGAAATTCCTCTTGTATTTCGTTAAAATTCACCACGTGAAAGAAGAATTTTCGAAATAAAAGTTGTAGATCGTAAGGGAAAAAAAAATTATTCCATGTGTACGTTTTGCAAGATGAGTCGTTTTTAAGAAATTCGATAGATTTCGAGTTGAGCTTCGCGCATAGTACGGGTGCTCTGAATCGGTATAAACCAAAATTAAATTCGGTCTGTGACTGTCGGTGCAGATCACGCGATATCAGATGTAATCGAAATTCTGTTAATAGTCTCGGATACGAAAGACGCGGAAGGACACATACTGTCGACATCCCTAATCCCCATAGTTCACGGTCTTTCAGATCTTGAAAGAAATGTAATCTCATTGTAACGATATGGTCCGATGATCGGCAAAAGCGTACAGCAGTGTCGGGAACATGGACCAGTTCCTCACCACGTAGCTTATCTGCCTGACATAGGAGGGCCTCTTGCTGTGGATTGAACCCTACCCTAAGTGCTTGCTGTCCAGACTACTGTGCTTTTCCTCAGCCTGCGTACAAATGCTAAGCTACTAGTCTTAAATGTTGGCTTTTGCTGTTTCCACTTTAATTCGTATTGCTTCTCAGTTCTTCTTGACGATCACAAGAAACGATAGTGAAATTTGAGGTTCTCAAGGCGGTGAAGATGTCGATGTTGTTCTTCAGTCGTTGTCCAACAGTACGTTCCTCCGAAGCAGTCTCTAAAGGCGTCACAACCCGAAAGAAGAACAACATCGAAGATGACTGTCTTCTGGGATGTTGCGCCGCGATTTACCTGATGATGGAAGCAGCAAGGACTTCTGAAACGTCGGCAAACTTCCTCCAGACTAAAACCGCGCAACAACCTAGAATACAGTCATCATCATACTCGCCGCCACGAATTATTATGTTTATTAGATCAAGGATTATGACGAGCCGTGATATATAACACGCATGGACGAGAAATATACAACTAGGTACTGGAATACCTTAAATAAAGAGACTAATTTAAAAAAACTAGACATAGATGGAAGGATATTATTAAATGGATGTCACCGAAGCAGTGCGTGAGAGTGTGGACTAGATTTAACTGATTGTTTCTTGTCCAATCGCAGGCCCTCATGATCAATTTTCTGAACCTGAAGTTTCCACAATAGCAGGGCCTACTTCGATCACCTGAACGGATGTCAAGTTTACAAGAAAGACCTTGTACTATGGAGCTGGTTAATTAGTTACCTAGTTACGTAATAGTTAATAGTTAATCATTTATTTTGTTAAGTAACAATCAAGTTCAAACTAGCTTCTTTCGATCAAGGATTCATATGAATGGAAGTTCATTATTGTTTTGTCTTTTTGGTGTTGGAATACTGGTCCTTATAAAAGGTATGCCTTTTAGCGCGTGAAATTAGCAAGTAACAATCGATTCTCGCCTGCAACCAACGAGTCGATAAAGTCGAAGCTGGTCTTTTGGGTTGTAACACAATGTGGATTCGTATATAGATTGCAAAGTATTTGAGGAACACACTGCCTCCATCTGAAGATAGATGCAGTACGTTCCTGCGAAACTTTATCTACCTGAAAGTTAACACAGCCTCGCAACCTTGGAGACGAACTCAAATCTCATAAAGTCGATAACTCACGGCGAGATGTTGGTCTTCTGGGTTGTAACGCCGAGTGGACTTCCAGGCACATGCTAACGTTTCGGAGAAACATGGGCATGGTCTTTGTCATTAACGCTGCATTCCTGGCTAAGATGAAGGTAGGAATCCACAGTTTTGATGCAGGCATCAATTTCGTTCTGATCGGCCACAACAATTACCATAGTGGTGAATATAACCCTTTAAAACCGAAGCTTGCCTAAAGAATTCTTAAGAATCCAGTCTGTACCGCAAAGAGAATACAACGCTTTACGATCACAAATATCAGCTGGAAATAATAACCGCTGTTTACGGTGGAAACCATACGAAATCCATCAATACAAAATGCAGCGTTACCAATGTATAAAATTTTTAACAAGTTCCGAGTGGCTTATGCATATTTTTCACATGCGTCCCTTAACGTTCATTTATAAAAGCAAAATGTAGGTGCTGTCCCCCTGTTTAAGCGCCGAGACACGTAAAAAAACTGGCAAGTTGTTATTCTTAACCTTGACAGTAGATATAGGTGAGTGGTTATCTTCACGCTTCGGCCGCTTTAATCCTGGTGAAATGTCTCCTGTAAATAGCAGACAAGCACGTCATCTCGAGGCCAAAGCAAAGAGAGAAATCCCTACCCCAACAGGGAACTGAATCCATTCTGTAGTCAGTCGCTTTACTGACTGAAGCAACGGGAGAATTAGATTTGAAATTCTGATAACTATCTTCCAGTCCTCCTGCGAAGAAACCAGAAAACGCCTAGACATAGTACGAACGCTCTCTCCCACACCTGTCCCGTGTTACCACCGACCACAATCCTGCGTAATTTCTCATTTTATCTCTTGTGACTACTCGACTTTAAAGGACTCATGCACGTGCATGCAAATTCTGTGACTGCGATGCAGCGAATTCATTTTTCGCTCACGAAATGAATTTTTTGACGTTGAAGAATTTCAATATCTCTCCGAAAGCGGCGTGGGAACATTCCACAGGTGAAGGTTAGGGTTCATATAAAGTGGTCCATCACTGACTCGCTACGGACATAACCACGCAGTGTTTCCTATAAAATCCCAAGCACAATTTCAGACGACGACACCATTCTCGGCGTCTCTACACTTAAAACGTGCAATAACGTCACGTCAATCGCTGACAGCAAGCCACAACATACCTGCATGAACATCACGCGTTAGCCGGTGCACTGGAAGAATTCTAACTGCACTTTTAACACTGAGGCAATGCTGGCTACTACTGAAGACGCTCCTCAGCAGCTAGCTGGAGAACCAGCCGTCCGTCAGCTCCTGCAACAAGTATCCCCCCCGTTCCGCCCCCCAATTCCCCTAGGGCCCCCTTTTTACAGGCAGGCTCCAGCGAGTCTAGCCCGACCCGATCAGGGTTCTTCCAACAACTTCTTCTGTCTCTTTTTCTCCCACTCAATTCTCCAGCTGTGACCAGCACAAATATCTTGTTTCTTCAGACTGCCCAATCACAGATATAAAATGAATCTGTGGTATAATGAACAGCCTGTTTTTCAAAAGAAATTCTCATCATTGTTCTCTGCCCGCATTTCAGCCCTCTTCTCCAACCGACCTTCTTTTGGTAAGATTTGAGGTTTTCACAGCAGTGAGTATGAAGATTTCTGTCTTCTGGGTTGTTGCGCTGTGTAGTCTAGTTGATGTTTACCATGAATCGCCCTGATGACGGAGGCAGTATGACCTCCGAAACGTTGGTATACATCGACCAGACTACACAGCGCAAGTACCCAGAAGACAGAAATCTTCATACTCTGATGACGGAGGCAGTATGACCTCCGAAACGTTGGTATACATCGACCAGACTACACAGCGCAAGTACCCAGAAGACAGAAATCTTCATACTCTGATGACGGAGGCAGTATGACCTCCGAAACGTTGGTATACATCGACCAGACTACACAGCGCAAGAACCCAGAAGACAGAAATCTTCGATATTTTTTCTTTTTTAGTATCTTTAATGTCACGTCCCAACTAGTTGAATTGTTAAACTTTTTGTATAATCTAATTGAAAATAATTATTTTGCAGCGGATTCGATACTTTCCTTTAAAAACCACCACACGGCAATTATATTCTGACAATGAACTGTTAATCTTGGCAATGTGGGATAAAGGGGAACTAATGCAGATTTTCTGATTATTTGTTTGTCGTGTGCGAATTCCTTAGACCTACAGTAGATGAACTAGCACGTCTGTCTGTCAGTTTTGTGTGGAATTGTTTCACCAGCCCGTCTTTATTCCTGTTAAAATTCTTGCTGTAATCAATATTTAAGGCAGAGGATTTGTCTCAGGCAGTGCCTGTCAGAAGCCGGTCGCAGTAGCCAGACTGCGCGTCTGGAACGTCGGCCTTGAACACTCAAATACAGTGATCGTGGGTTCGAATCCCACTCGAGACATGGATGTTTGTCCGCGTCTTTCTGTGTTGTACTGTCCTGTGTAGGTAGAGGCCTTGCGACAGGCTGATCGCTCGTCCAAGGAGTTCTACCAAACGTCTAAACAAATCAAGAAACCTCACATATGTTAGGCGGACAAGGTCCTTCAAGAACTGAGAGCCACGGAGTCAATAAGTGCCTCACTGAAGTAGGTTTTGTGGGCTCTGTCGCATTTCCTGTATATGTCATTTCGCAATATCCTTCATCTGCTATCATGAGCTGCATCCTGTGGTAGGTTCGAGACCTATTAGGAAGCAACGTCACTAACAGAAAAAAGAAGTGTTTGAAGATGGCTGTCTTATAGCAAGTTGCGCCCTGTCGTCTGGTAGAGGTTTACACTCTGCGGCCAATAACACAAAACACAGAAAACATTAAATGCTACTACTAGATACAGTCAGTATAGTGACTAGCTACGGGCTGGACAACCGGGGTTCGATCCTCGACGGAGGCAGAGGATTTTTCCTCTAGCCTCTGCGTCCAGACCGGCTCTGGGGCCCACCCAGCCTCCTCTACAATGGGTAACGGGGTCCTTTCCCGGGGGTAAAGCCGGCCGGGGCGTGATGCTGACCACTCACCCCCATCTAGTGCCGAGGTCAAGGAAGAGAGGAGCTATACCTCCACTCACCCCAAACGCCTACATGGCGTATTGTGGGACAAATTTTATTTTTTTACTTTTTTACTAGATACGACGTACTTTTCATTAGGAACTAAGGTAAATATGAAATTAAATTTTAAAAAAAGAAATTTATACAAAACTTTTTTAACTCTTTCAAGTTCAGTGTATTTATGAAACCTGATGATGTCTTTCTAGTAAGACGAAACACGTAGTTTTACTTTAAGCTCGTAATGTGTCATATGACAGTTATATATTTATGGTAATATGCTTTATTTGTTTGTTATATGAAGACTGTCATTACATCCTAATATTACTGCCATTATTTTTTACTGTGAAACATGTCGTTATGCTGTGCATTGTAAAGTGGGACTCATGTACCTTTCTAATTAAAATCGCTAACTCCGATTTATCATCTGTTTATTATTTTAAGTGATAACAATTAAACTTTAAAATTTGTTGTAATTGTGTCGTGACATTTGCTGTATCACAGACCCAGAATTTTATCTGTCTCAGGAACAGGTTATTAGCTGTGATTGAATACCATCTAAGCATATGTGTTGACCTTTAATTTTAAACTTTTTCATTAAATTACTTTCTATCGTAACGGTATTAGGTTTTTTATACAGGATTCTGTTAATTATTTAGACACAGTTTCTCAGCAGGACAACAAGCGCATTACATGTCACTATATCACTAAATGGAGACAGTTGTAATTCTTGCAATTGTAAGTCGAGTGATTTTTTTTCCCTTTCCTACGAACAGGATACGTCAACTCGTCGTTGTATAAACTCTCAAGTAAATAATTTCTTTTTGTTTTAACAGGTTTAAAGGAAATTAATAAAATCCAACTTTCGTTGGGGAATGTGTAAAGGATTTCTACTACAAATAAAATACGCCACTGGACTTAGGGATGTTTCGACAACAACAAACTTCCGACGTTTGAACCATCATAAGTCTAAGTAGAATAACATATTTTAAATAGTCCCTTCATTCATTTTAATTCCTCTTCTCTTTCTTTATTCTGTAAGATTTATTTACTGTATTCATCATAAAAAATAAATGAGTATGTACTGTGTATTGGACGTCCTTTAATATTAATTATTTAAGTATGAATTATCTCAGGTCACCGCCTGTAAATTAAGTGTAAATGAGTTGCGTCCTGTTTCTGTCACACGTTATTGAAAAAGATGTTAAAGTAATGTGAAGTGAGACCCTCAGTTTATAAATATTTTGTGTTGAATATCGATCTTATTCGAACATCGAACCGTTTATTTCGTCTCGATTTGTCTATTTCTCTTTGCGTTAGTGTGACGCCTATTACTAGACTTCTGTATAATCGAGACAAAACGTTAATTTAGCGTTATATTTCCGGCGTCCGTCGCATTTTAATTATGTAACACTGGTGTGAGGTGTGACAGGGATTACTGGTTTACTGATGACAGGCTTGGTTATTTAGCGACGCTATTAAAAATAATTTTACCTGTTTACTAATTTGTGATTTGTTTAACGACTCTGACATTAGCTAAGAATATTTAGTGTGGATGATGGGATGAGTAATGAATAATGAATTGTAAATTATATGGACGGAAACGGTATGGCCTAATTTGTGGTACTCTCCCGGGGTTTGTCTGGAAGAAAATTACAAGAAATCTTTTATGACAGCGAGCCTCCGGGCCGAGAACTTCCGGATACGAACTACCAACCACTCAGCCACTACATGATTTTGTATGAGTGTGGAATTTGATTTCTTGCGTTATGACAACAAACCTGATTCAGGACAACGTGCTGGACCTCAAACTGCGGCCATGGTCCTGAAGATGGAGGCAGCAGGTACATCTGAAACGTCAGATTGCACAGTGCGGCGCAGAAGACAGTCATCTACACACGTGAAAGTATGCCTGTACTCCCTCCATTCGCCTTTATTAAGTAGTAGGAACTTAGACACAGGAAACATTTGATCTCTTTCGACCGTTCAGACTCATTTGTTTTTACTCTTAGGTGGTAATTACATTTCCACTTTCAAATATTTGTTTGTGTGCCTTTTATGTTTTTAATATGTGTTGAACCACATGTGTAGAAACAGCTGATACATATTTAGTGCGACATTATAATGCAATGAATATTGCGTGGCGTTCCAAGGCCACTGTGGCTTCAGAAGCCTGTAGATGTGACTCACATCTTAAGCGTCACAGGATGTTGCGCCTTATCTGCAGCCAGTGCAGAAAATTGCATAATGGGAAGGTCATATCTGCCCGTTCTCATGTTTCCTATTCCAAGCTAACTTGATGGAACTGGATGAAATTTGGTACTAGAGATCCACACTGCAGGCCAGTTGCCAGCGAATAATTTTCGTATCGTTATGTCAGAACTGCTCATAAATATGGAAGCTATTTTAAATAAAATTCGTTAAGCTGAAATCTACTTTTTGCGTCGCAAATGTTTTGCGGTGTTACTGTGTGGTGCGCATCTCACATGGGCGACGGAATGTGTTGCTGTTATCATTGTGATTGCCATCACAGTAATCATAATTTCTTTTACTCTTAGTAATCTATTATTCTCACTTTTTACAAGAACGTTATATATTTTTCCTTAGATGAGCAGAACTTTAGCTTCAAATATGATAATATTAAAATGTATTTAATAATTATCTACTTATCTTATTTGTATAAGTATGTAAGCAGCTAATTCTGATTCTAAGTAGTTGGGAACGACCACTTCAGAGACCAATGGAGAGAACGGATAATATTAAAACGGTGCTTAAAAGTGTTCTTATTGTCTTTTTATCTCGTTATGTAACCAGATAATTCTGATTCTACATAACAGGAAAATTGCCTGGAAAGCGACCGCTAGAGATATGAAGACATGGATAGGGTGATATTACAATGAATCTTATTAACTACTTTATTTATCTGGGTGCACAACTGGCTAATTCGTAATTGTTGGAAAATTTCCCTGAAAATGGCCACTTGCGAGACAAAGCATAAATGAGGTAATATTATAATAGATTTTAATAACTATATAATTATCTTATTTTTCTCGATATCTGACTAGCTAGTTGAGATTCTAACACGTTTCAGAAACTGGACATGCTTTTGTCAACTCGGTCCGTATCTGAATAATACCTGTTTAGAGTGTGTCATATGAACCAAATAATATGAAAAATGGTGAGATATTGACTGTTAAAGCAAGTGGTAAATGTAATTACCGCTGCGGTTTAAGGTTAATGAGATTAA